TATGGAACCGATATCAACGTATTCCCAATGGTAACGAATGCAGAAAACTTCCACAGAGAGAGAGAGAGAGAGAGAGAGAGAGAGAGAGGAGTTCGCGATGTATATATACACACATATAGCAATATATATTCGCACAAAGAATTAAAAAAAGGGGGCTTTAAAATATATTCATCAAATTCATCGAACGTTTATTACGAATTCGATGGACAAGACACGTCTTTTCCCGGAGTATGTTTTTAGCATCATTGTAAAAGGTTTCCGATTTCCTGTTCGTGTCTATTCAACTAGTATATAATTACTGAGGGCATAGATTAAACGTAATCATTGAAGGAAATAAATCCAAGATCATGACAAACTTATAAATAAAAAAAGTCTATGATGTGTCCATTATTGAAACTTTCATTCAAATATGATAAGAATATCTTAAAAAAATATTTTCTGATAAAAAATTATTGAAAGATGCTTTAATACAATGACATGACGTAGAAACAAATCACTTTTTGTTTTTCGTAAAGAAAAGAAGACAAATACAATTGAATAAAATACGATTTTAATTTAATAAAAATTTACAGAAAAGTAGAGAGCGGTAAAAAAAAATATATTAAATCAAAATATTAATTTCAGATGATTGATTATATATACCTGTTTATCAAACAATCGAACATTAAACATCAAACTTATTTATTTTTCAATATTATCTCTTCTCTTAAATTTCAAAGTAAATTTAAAGGTCTACACGATCCTTTTCACCCTTAATCGCGCTTTCTCACAAGAAATCTAATCCGATAATGCACAAGTTGCGGTTCTGAAAATAGAGAGCCTAACGAATTTTGAGGCGGCAACGTCGCGTCGGATTTGCCGCCTCGTGAAGAATTTACGTTCCACGTCACGAGAAATGTTATTACGAAGAAAAAAAGAAAATATGCTGGTGTCCGATCCGGATCGGAAATGTGCGATATAGACGAGAAGGGTGTGTGACACCCCTCTCGGAGGAGGCCGTTCGTACCCGTCCGTTGTCCACGTCGCGACGTGAGCGAGAAAGAAGAAACCCAACCGCGCAACCATCAGCACCGAGAAAAACTGGTTCTGGTAGAACCTGCCTCGGACACATGAGATCCCACGGGTGTATTCGAGAGGAGAATCGCGTCTCGAAGCCGCGAAAAGGAAAGAGACCCGAATTCGGCTGTTCGACTGTAATCGCCGCTACGCGTTACGCAAGAACAAATATAATAAACGTAGCAAAGAAAATATATATATATATATATATATAAAAAAAATAATTTCCCCCTTTTACTTTAACAAAAAATTCACTTTCACATTTGTTAATAAAATATTTTGTATCTTGAATATAAAATCTTTTAAAGATCAGGAAAAAGTTAAGGAAAAAGATTTTAAAACGCTCAAAATGCAAATTAAAAAATGTCGGCTTTACTAAATCTATAAATATAATTAAGTTTATACTTTCTTGCACTCTTTCTGCAATCTTATGCTTGTGAGAATTTTAACATGATAATTTGATAGCGAAAAAACAAACTCAAAATTATTTTCTAAATTTCTTCGGAACACATAAAAGTATATAAAGTTGTTAAATTTTATTAATTTTGTCAATATTTTTCAATTTTATTTTATCAATTTTATCAATATTTTTCACTCATTTTTAATAAAAGTTGATATTTCCATTGTGTTGCAAATTTCTTTTCTATTTAATTCCAAAAAATTTCTAAATGTGCCGGCCACAATATGTTACATTTTATTTCACTCGCGGTTTGAAACGCACTCTACTCTCTCTCTCTTTCTTTCAGACATTGTTTCCATTGTTTTAAGCAGAATTATTAAGCAGAATTAATTTACTTAGTAGTATCTTTCACACAAAACACTTTCGACACATGTGAACTTATCACAATAGTCGCATAAAAAAGAAATGGAAAATTGACGAGAGTACGCGGCATCATTTCCATTAAACTCAAAGGCCAGTATAAAGACTGTTTTTATTTCAAGATTGTCTTAAAGACGCTTAAAGAAGTTCTGTAATTGGGTTATGGTATCTTAAAGCTATACTTAAAATGATTTTGAATATAACAACGGATTATGAATATCAGATTAAAAAATAAATACACAGAAAATTATGTCACAAATAAATTTAAAATGTAAAGAGTAATAATAGAAGCAACTATTTTATATATATAAAACCGTTATCATTAAAAAGATTAGTGTAACTGTTACTATTACAATGACGGGAAAAAAGTAACACTGTTAAAAGAAAAATAACTGTAAGCGCGCATAACGGTTTTATAAATAACGCGATATTTCCAATTATGATATTTGTATAACACCAATAAATGAAATTTGTATAGCACCAATTTTTTCAATATTAAAGCATTACATTTATATAGAATGTTTCAGATTAATCTATTTCTAAAATCTTGCTGTAGTCTAATAAATCTTACATGTCTCTTTATTTATAATTTATTTAATTTTCAAAATATTTCAATATTTCATATTTTTTCAATCATTCATATTTTCAATATATTTCAAAACTGTTTCTTTCTGTCAAAACGTTCTGCCTTTTTCTGTCTTTCTTTTTTTTCTTTCTTTAATAAAAATTATAAAAACGAAACGTTTGTACGTATTTTCGCAACTTTTAATAGCTAATACCTCAAAATTTAGTTTGAAGAATATTTTAAATTCCGGAGGTATTACGTTAAGTGTGATCTCAGCGAAACTTAAGAGTATCTGAATTGCAAGGTATTGTAATTTATGTAGATGCAAATTATACGAATCTTCGTTTATCTTTCATCATTTATTTCAGGAAAAAGTTTTCTTTCCGAGATTCTCATTCTTCGTCTCGACGAGGAAGTACTTCCCTGTTCGCATTCGCGATCGATGAAACATTCGAGTATTTGTCGATCGTCGCGTAATATGCGTGTATTTTTGTCTCGATCGATCGATCAACCCCTTCGTTCCAACATTGGAAGCACGAAACGCTCCGTCCGATGTGTGATATTAAATTGCCGTCCACTACCGCCCCCGCCACGGAAAATTTCACTTTAATGATAAAGGTGGGGCTGCCCACGTGTACAGTGTCGGACACACAATGTGACATCAAATGCAATTGCAATAAATACCCTACGAAAAAAATGCCTCGAGGCTCGGCCTCATTTTCGTTCGCCAAATTTTCTAAGCAATCGAGTTATACAAGCTAAGAATAAATTAATGCGCTCTTCCGTTCTGAAAATAATTATCTAGAAAAGAGGTGGCCATAGATGCCGGTGAGGAAATTTACAACGTATCGAGTATACACGTCGATCGACGGTGGGGGCGTTCGCAAAAACAACACGTCCGCAGTTCGCCGCCAAATTGCGCTGTAATTGCCATCAATTTATTAATTCGCGAGCGCAACACGGTTTAATCACACGTGCGTGCTGTAGGATTTCTGAACAGGGAGGGGAAGAAGGGGGCAGGCTCTCTTTCGTTAATATCCTGGCGAAACTTGTGCATGCGGCTCCATGAATTTCGCCGTGTGCGTACGTATAAATAGGTATTTAATCGCTCGGCAGCCGTCCAGCTGCATGGCTAAAGGCTAAAGTTCTATTTGCATTTTGTTGCTTGTTCGATCGCTCATGGTGGCGCGAGAATTTGGATTATTAGACTGCACGACCTACGTCGTAACTTTACATGCGTTTTCCGAGAACTTTGTTCTCGATAAGCGTCAGTCCGACGTAACTTGCGCAAATTGGCAGAAACTTGTTCGAGATAATCGATATATTAAATATACATGGCTTTCGGGCTGGGTATTAAACAAGTTGCAACAAACAACGGTTTCTCTCAAAATTTCCTTTGGGGAAAAAACCGAATTCAAATCAGCCAGAATATTTATCATTAAAATTAATATCGAGTGCCAGATAGCGAATAATGGTGGTCTCGTTTGAAATTTTCCCCGAAGAGGACCGAGTTATATTTCATGGTATTTATTATTAAAATTAGTATTAAGGATCCTAGGTAATAATTTTTTCACTGTTGAAATATTAAATCACAATTGCACCGACTGTCAAATTGTATCGCGAAAGAAAAAAAATACTTCCTGACAACATGAAGGAAACATATAGCAAGTATCAGCGAAAGAGAAAACGACGCGACACAAGCCGTAATATTGATTGGCGGGTATTGAATTAAAAATTGACATCGGATCGAACAGAGATATTCTTGATAGAGTAGATATGAAAGAAATGGAGCAATATATAAGAAGAAAAGCTTCGATCGTATTCGTATAATGCATTATGGCATATATATTTCCTATATAAGACCTTGAAATTCTTCATTCTCTATCTTTACTAATCTTGCAAAAGTATTACAGTACAGTTAAAAATTATCATTTGTTTTTACGTGGAAAGATCTCTTATATTTTGTGATTTTATAATAAAGTAATTATATAATAAAAATAAAAATAAATGAAATATAATACAAATAATAATAAAAATTCATCCTTCTTTAATAGAAGTAAAGAAGCTTCGATGTAAGGTGTCATATCTCTGAAAAAGTCGCGTATAAATTAAATAAATAAAATATTCTTGTCCTCGCGGCTAATTACAAAAGAGTTCATTGCACCAGTCATTTCATTTGTATTGTCTCTTTTGTTGAATGAAGGTAAACTGACATTCTTACTTGTCGGTCTTAGCACGTGCCATGTTCTCCCAACTGCGAGCCAACTGCAGGTTGGTGAGCCTTGCGAGGGAGGATTCAGGGCTCAGCAAATAGGCGGAACAGTGCCAGCTGTGTCTCCAAAAGATACTTCCGCTCACCCTTTCACGGTTCTTTGATGACGGCACTGCACCTTTCTCACTCATCTCACTGTCCACTGGCGAGGCTTGTCTCGTGTTCACTCGTGTTTACACGTTTCGTCTATCTTACCAGCCCCCGTGGAAACATACGTGGAGAACAAATTTTACATCTTGCGCAAGGCAATCTCGTATCGGCACAATAATCTTTCTTTCAATCTTTTCTTTCACTCCATTTTCATTCGCGAGATTTCGGACACACGAAGGTTTCCGGTTCGGTTCCGTGGGCGAGGCCCAGATATTTCACTTAATCTGACAATAAAAAATGGGGAACTTAACTTAAGCTGTTAAGGTCTGTTAATAACAATAAAAACGTTGAGTCTCTCAGTTAATGAAAATTTGTTTTAATAAATATCTGTAATAAAATAATTGATTCGAAGGACGAATTACTCGTGACTCGTGCACGTTTGAATTTCGAGCAATTAATTATTGATATTGACTGATATATAACGTTATATCCTTAAAAGCCAGACGGAAACGTAACGAGTGGTCGGGCGAATGAATTCCCGGATGAAATATATGAAATTTGCTGATGGAATTCGCGCGGAGTGGATGAAACGTTTCGCGAACGAGCGAGGCCGGGCGATCGATCGATCGGGGACACCTCGGCGATAATTGAAGGGAGTTAAATTAAGAGAGTCTGATTCGAAGAAGAATCGACAACCAAGTAATTCGCGGAATTTCCAGCCACCGTCCAATGGCGATTATTACTTCGCTTGAATGAATCTTGAATGGAGCTGTTACTCGAGCGTTTGTCCATTTTTCCCGATAACCTCCTCCGAGAGTTGGCCACGTATAAACGAACGGAAATGTTAGCAAAAGATAAGGGGGGGGGGGAACCTTTCGCGGAAGTACCTTTCGCGTAGGTGGATACACATTTGGAGGAGGTAATGTGACAAGCGAGGAAGTAATATAATCGCGAACACACAGGAGGATGGAACAACGTCGGGGATGTTATCGGGGAGACATTCCCTTCCTCGGGATGAGCGAGCGATTTTTCGGAGGACTCTCGCCCCCTCCCCCTTCCTTCCCCCCGGGCGAGAGATTACGTCGCGAAGGTCGGATTGCCTCGGCTGATCGCTGAGGTAAGCGCGTGAGATCTAAATTAAGTCTAAAAGTCACGTAGGGAGAGATCGGCGAAGGGGGGCGATCTCCGAGGTAGACTAGACTTCCTGCCTGTGTCTCGCTTAATTAAGCCAATAATTCATCTGGCCGCGATAAAACGAGGAGTACGCAGGCGGCGGAAATCCCAGATTCCGCGTGTCTTCGCGATTCATCTCGCGTTGAATTCATCCGACTCGCACGATCCCCCCCCTCTTCTCTCTTACCGGGGGAGGGGAGGGGGAGGAAGAGGAAGTACCTCCGAGCTTCCACGTGAGCGGAAGAGACTGGCGGAGATCCGCGGATCGACAAAGGTGAGCAGGTTTCCGGCGAGAATTCTCCGTTGTGTTTCCCTGAGGAGGAGAGGTGGAGGAGGGAAGGCGGGAGGAGGGGGGGGGGGAGAGATTAATCGCGGTCGTTTTATAATTTTATTGGCACGATTACGCGCGAGTTATCGTTGCACCGCGGGAGGGATTTCCGGCCTGGCGAGACCGGTGTTTCCTATTTATTTAACATTTCCACTGCTCGTTACGCTGCAAATAAATTGTTGATCGCGCTATTATTTCTCACGTTCATCGTTTGTCGCTCCAAGACAATCACTCGCACGATATTTCTCAGAAGTGGAGCACACGATTTAGATGAACACCCGAATATCCACTTTAATAAAATGGCAGAATAATCGATGAGAGAAATTGAGCTCGCGAGATTTCTGCCTTAAAACTTCTTTAAGGAAGACAATCGAGATTAAAGGAACGGAGAAATTTCAGGCGTGAAAATCTCACGTCGCATCGTGCCTCCGATCGTTTGTTGACTCGACTCGACTTTCATTCAATGGATCACGCAGACGTATTTTCGAATATTCAAGGTCGACGTGCGCGCGCGCGCACGCGCGTGCGTAATCGATGAATTTTGTCTCTTTAAATGCTCGTGCATGCTCGATTATCGTATATCGGTTGCGACTCGAGTTTAGCGATAGCGAAAATCGGAAAATTCTTTCCGCGCAGAAAAACGACAGAACACAGAGGAGGATACGTCGTAGCGGATACCAGCTCGGAAATAATAAAATTTGGAATTATTTCTCTCGATATTTTTCTCTCGCGTCTCCTTTCGCCTGCCTTCTGCCGCCCGGAGCTGTACGATCGCGCGAATCGCCGGCTCGAAATCCGGTGACCCCGGCGCAATTAACGAGAATGGGCGCGATGTAATTTCAAGCGTGGGTCTCCGGCGAAGGCCGGAAATGTCGGTGGATGAGAAAAAATTGGCGCGCGCATGCGCTAAACGACGAACGGGAATCGCTCTCGCCCTTTACCGCTGGCTCCAAATTATTTTTACATCGCGCGGTGCAATCCGCGAGGTGGTTTTATTTCTCGTGAATTCGCAGCTCGATATTTTCGCTGCGGCGCGACGCGGCGCAGTAAATTCGACGAACTCCCGCCTTTGTACATATTTCATCTCGTGCGTCACGGCTGGCAATTTGGAAAACGTAGGAGAGAAGAAAAGAAAAAAAAAAAAAAAGACACCTACGCAATTGAAAAGTTACAGGAGCTTTTCCGAGGTGGAGTCGCGACTTCGCCTGGAAGGGACGACCGTCGCTCAAAATCGTCCTCGTCGTGGCGTTTTCGCGGCGTATCGCCGCGATAAAAGGTAAACCGGGGGGAAGCCTTCGCGTTTTCAGGCCGTCCGATGCGCGGATAGATTCGCCATGCGGACACTGATCGATCCGCGACCCGCGCCGCCGATCGGAATCCGCGCGGCGCTCGCGCAAAAGCGGTAGCGCGGGACGGCGGTCACGGTACGGTAAATACAAGCCGCCCGCGCGGGCGATATTTCGTATATCGGCAACCACCGACGACGGCGGCAAGGACGGGAACGACGGCGACGACGTGCTATCGACTCGGCGGCACGCGGCATACTGCTTCGTCGATTGCAGCGCCCTGGTAAGCCGGCGACGCGCCGCGCGTCCCGCGATGCGCCGCGCGTTGCACCTTCGGAATGATCGCGAGCCGGTTCGCCGACCGCCCGCTGCTGCTGCTGCTGCTGCTGCTGCTGCTGCTGCTGCTGCTGCTGCTGCTTGCCTGTCTACCTCCTTTTCGCTAAGTAAGGGAGAAAAGGGAGGGAAGAAAGGTGGAACGCGCGAGAGACGGCCGATTCGCTCTCGCGGGTTCAGATCTCGTCCGCGCTTTTTACCGCGCGGACCGCGATCGGCTTCGCGAGCCGAATTGTAACAGCAACATTCTTCAGGGCGCAATTTTTATAATTTCTTATTACATTTTATATTACAATGAAAAAATGATTATGAGAAATTTACAGATTAATTCTAAATCGTATTTAAAATAATATAAAAACGTTTAGTGGCGGTTTACGAACCCGAAATCAAAATTGCTTAAAGAAATAAGTAAAAGTGTGCTCTAATGTAATTAAGAAATGATGATAAAAATTTCAATTTTTTTTTTTTATATATAAGTACTTTAAGTATCAAAATGATTTATGTAAAGTTTTATGGCAGTACAGAGATTAGGTGTTCAGTAAATAAAAATTTAATTTTATTTATAACTAGTCTTTGTAATGTATAACTTTTACACCTAATCTCTATAATATAACTCTTTAATACGATTTATATATAATAAAATTTTACGTAAATCATATTAAATACTTAAAGCATTTATATTTAAAAAAATTGAGATTTTTGTCAGTTATCATTTTTTAATTACATTTTCAGTAAAACACATTTCTACTTTATGTTTAAATAATTTTTTAGATTCTAACATATACTGCTACATATAAATGCAGTCTAAAAGAAAATCTGTAATTTTTTTCATAATTTTTTTCATTGTAAATAAAGATAGTGTAATATATCCTTAATTGAATCAGCTTGGCGACTCTTTATAGCATATTTTGAATAGATCGCGCCAATACGATTCGATTCTCCGCTAATTTGCCGCGCGATAAACGATGCAACTTGCAAGAGTTGACATGTAATAATTGATTATTCCTATCGTAAAATGGCTATCGATTAATCATGCTTGATAATGATCCGACAGGTTTAAGAATCATATAATTCATATGAAATCGTTACTAATCAAACTAATCAAACTTTCGAAGAAATTTTCGCCTGATTTTTGTCGATTTGAAAATCAACATACGCGTGGAGAACGGCGTAATGATTGGAAAATTGAGAAAGCGGTACATCAGAACTGATACGAATGATCGATGAGAAAGATTCGTTCCTCTACATGCGATTCTCGTGATGTGAATAATCTTATAATCCAGTTTCGGGTGGAAATCTCGCGACAGACAGGGATTAGAGACGGGAAAAAATCGATTTGTTATTCTTCAGGTGTCTCAGCTGACATCACTTCGTGTGTCACAGAAATCAATCGTTAAAATAACGCGACTGTGGAATTTCGAATAATCTTAAGACGTGACATTTGATTAATTATAATGTTTACTTATCAATTAAGAATTTACGCAATATCAATCTGTTATTAAAATAATGTACAGACTTTCTTTTGAAATAGATGGCCAGATAAATGCTATTTTTAGATGCATTTGATACATATATTGTACAAAAGTTATGATCTATTAATTATACTTAAGTATTTTCTTCCTTATTGCATATTCTT